ACGACGGATCCTGCAGAGAACGTAGGCAGAACCGGCGCAGCTGCATTCGATTTATTAACCGCATGCTTGCATACTGAGTCTCTTTATTTCAGGTGAGGGGTTTGCTATATTGTCACATGATTGCTTACGTAAACTATCTTCTATCAACTTGCACACGTCGCTCAAGTTAGTTGTAATTAACTTCGATAACATTTTCGCGTTTGTGGCATTTTCCTAAAATATATTTTCTGACATCTTATTCTGGCAACCAATTTGTTTCACATGCTCATTTATTAAAAATCTATGTCAGCATATCTGTATGCATTATTCGATTTATTTTATTTGCTATTATCGTTTCAAGTGATTGGCTGTTGCTTGATGTTCCCGGTGTGACTGCGCTTGATGTGCTTGTTTACAAGGGCCTACCTGTCTATTAGCCACTACCTCGTCGATACTGGAGACAGTTGATCGTTGCTGGAGGGGACGGGGTGCACGGTCCTTGTGGCCGTGTTAGGCTCCAAGTGTGGTTCGATGCACTCAGTGTGGAGCGGACTACGGTAAAGCCACCGCCTTGTGTGTGCTTGATTCCCAAATACTGTGTGCTTGTGTTTTCCTGTGTAGGAATGTGGGCCGGCTTCGCTGATGTAAGGTGGCTCCCTTCCGCATGCCTTCCGGTCACATTCGTTCGGGTTTACACTGGATATGGGGTGTGTGGATGGAGCTGTGGGTGATGCAGCGCCTGCCACCCATGGTCACTCTGTAGGCGCAGGCATCCTGTGGCTGGCCACAGTGACAGACAAATCCGGAAACCGGATGCTGCCAACCATATATTCGGCGAGTAAACCGTCGGTTTCTAGAGTTCTATAAATTAACACTGTCTTCAAAAACCTGTCCGCAAAACAGCGGATTTGGCATTGGACTACAATGAGTACGAAAAAGCATCACCCAACATTGCTCAATGGATCGCTGAGGCACGCAAACCATCGCACGACGGTAAGGTCCAGCTTCATAGCGATGGTGCATTTTTGCACCTTCAGACTCACTCATTCCAGATTGGTCAATGGTTAGAGGCCAGACAAACTCAACCTCCTTGTCCTCCATTTCGAGTGTTGGAATGAGGGTGGCTTCTTATTCCTTAAAACTGACTCCTTGTAGCCCACTGCCAAACTCGCTGCCTTGCGGTCAGGTTTTTGAACCAAAAGCTGTGGTTAAGAACCCTAATCGTTCTCCTGTCTAGGCCTGGGCAACCTGACAGTATCCTGCTCACGCAATACTATGCATTTTTCTCAACCGATTTCCTGATGCTCTAGCCACCACAGAGAATGATCAACGGTGGTTAGGAGTTTGGATGCTACTGCTCACGCCTTCACGTCTTCCTATTCCCCTTGCGCTTTTCCACCCTTATCCTCCCGTTCCATATTCACCTTACCCCCCCCCCCCCGTTTCAACCCCCAATTCTTGACCCTCCCCCACCATGCTTTGATAAGCGTTTATCTTCTAGTTTCAACTCACACGCAGTCCCAATCAGTAGCCGGATGTATTCCTCCAGATTGACTGGCTCGTTTAAAACTTCGAAGTCAGGCGGGGCTAATAGGTGTCTGTTTATCATCGCTGCCTACTCTTCACAAACTGTAACGATGATTCCGTGAAAGACGACTTCTATCAACGGAATAAGCTCCTTCGTCACAGAAGAAGCACGGACACTGTAGTGCTTGCTGGGAATCTGAACGTTCAAGTTGGGAAATTGTCCACTGATGAGCTGCATCTAGGCGACCAACATGGTGTAGGCTCCCGTAATGATAACTGTAAGCGGTTACTTAATTTGTGTGAAATTGCTCGCTTATTTCTTGCGAGCACTAACTTCCGACACAGCACCCATCGGAAGGTGACATGGTGCCTACCAGCCTCGAACCAGCCATAGGCGCAAATCGATCTCATTGATATCAGTTAACGCTGGAGAGGCTGCATCCGCAACTGTCGCTCGATTTGGAGCACATGTGTGGACACTGACCATGCACTTGTATGTGCTGACATGCGGATGCGTTTTGGCGGTCGCCCTCAACGAATCTGTGGGCGCATAGACACAAGCCACTTGACGAAGCCAGGTGTACTAATTGCGTATCGAAGTACGGTGGCGTTCGGGTTGAGCTAAAGCTCACCGAATACAGTTGAAGGTCGCTGGTCGCATTTTCACCAGACCTTACTTGAAGCAGGTAAATCATCATGTGGTAAATTCACTGATCAAATAGATCTTGGGTCTCTTCACAGTCTTTGGAACTTATCGATACTCGCCGACAAATTCTGGCTGAAAGCGAACACAACGAGACTCGCAAAGACATCAGCGCAAAACTTCGTTCTAGCCTGAATAGAGACCGTGAAGCGTGGTGGTCCCATCGTCGTCAGAGATGGAACTGCTCGCTGCCCTTGGTACCCATCAGAAGTTGTTCCGTCAGATACGGGAAACGAACAGCAGGAGATCCGGTGTTAGTGAAATGTGAACGCGACCAAAGTTCACAGCCTATCCACAACTTGTCAAAACGTTTGGAGCGGTGGGCTGAGCATTTTGATAAGCAATTTAATCGGCCGGAATTGTTAGTTTCCTCACCAGTCAGTGATCGCCTTGCTCCATGGGCTGTCCCTTTGGATCCACCCTCTCGCTCAGAAGTCGAACGTGTAATCGGACTGTTGAAGTTGAATAAAGCCCCGGGACCAGATGATGTTCATTCAGCCCTCCATAAATTCGGAGCCCCTGCTCTTGTTGGTGATTTACACGAATTATTAGTGAAACCGTAGGAGCAGGAAACTGTCCCAACCGAATGGAGCCGCTCCGTTATTGTCCCGATCTTCAAAAGTGGCTCGCGTTCGGAATGCGGTAACCATAGAGGAATCAATCTGATCTCCATCACCTCCATATTTCTTGCATTTCTTATCCTTCACAGGCTGACTGACACTCTTGAAAGCCAGATTCGTGAAGAGCAAGCTGGATTCCGTCGTGATCCGGGATGCATCGACCACATCTTCACTTTGCATCAGTTGTTGGAGCACCGTCACACATATTGGCGGCTCACCGTTGTCATATTCCTCGACATCAAATGGGACTTCGGTTCGGTGGATAGACATGCTCTTTGGGACTGTCTACTAAAGAAAGGTGTGCCCGAGAAATGTGTAACTATTATGCGAGCGCTTTACGCGCATAACTCGGACAGAGTGAGAGCTTACGGCAAACTGTCGCGGTTTTGCATTATCTCCACTGTTGTACGACAAGGATGCTCGCTGTCACTTTTCCTCTTCAACTTCGCTATTGATGAAGTCATGGAACTCTGTTTCACAGGACACGACTTAGAAGGCGTGGAGCTGCTCCCAACTGAACGACTTTTTGACTTGAGTATGCTGACGATACTGCCCTCATCCGTGACAGCTCACAAACCTGCCAAACAGCACTGGACAGATTAACACTGCCTGTCCGTCGTTTCGGGCGATGCTTTGCACCCTCCAAGTGCAAAATTTTCCTTCAAGATTGGCAGGGACCGTCTCCTGTGCCGACCCTTGGTGGTGATCAGCTTAGAGTCGTTTAAAAGTTCAACTACCTAGGTAGTTGTATCAGCGCCGTTGGAATTGAAGACGTCACAACCCCTATAGCAAAAGCTCGAAGCGGTTTTGCCAACCTTCGCCACCTATCGCCTCGGCGCAACATCACTCTCTCCCTGAAGAGTAGAGTATACAATGCAGCCATACGTTCGACCCTAATGTACAGTTGTGAAACCTGGCCCCTTAGATCAGCGGACATAAAGAGGCTAGTTAAGTTCGACCCCCGATGCCTTCGCAGTTTGGCTCAGATCTCGTGGAAACACCCGTGTGAGCAACAAGCTTGTTCGACGCAAGGAGAAGAATCGAACCGCTCAGCACCGTTATTTCACGCACGAGGCTCCGATTGCTGAGCCACGTGTTGCGCATGCCAGCCCACCGACTTCCGCGATGTGCGTTGTTTGCGCGCCGAGGGTGCGGATGGAAGAAGAGGAGAAGTGGCTAAGCGATGAATTGCTCAAGAGGAATGAAGACCCTCACTTCGAAGTTGGCCTCGGTTGTAGCCTCTCGGCTCCCTGGTTGGGGACCTAAGAACGATGAACACCTTTGGTTGGATACACTTGTTGACATGGCAAGGAGCCGACTTCACTGGCGCCTGTGTTTTGAGTTCCTTCGTCCATCCTCCTCCGCTTAACCTCCCTCTCCAACCACAATCTCAAATAATAGGCATTATATAACTTTGCGGCACGATGGCCGGCTATTAGCTCTCCAGAACGATGTCCATCCGTTACTGGTGACTCAGCCAGCGTGCCTCTGTTTCACTTTTTTCTTTTCTTTTGTATTGCGGTACCCAAGTTGAGGTGTTTTCCACCTGCAGCTAGCGTGTATAATGATGATCAACAATAATGATCACTATCTGTGGTACAGATATTTTGCCATCAGTATCATGGTTGAATAAGAAAACAGGATACGAATAGGAAGAAACATAATATGCGACATTTTTACTATTTTTTCACTCACAGTTTTTGAGTTTATTAATTGTTTGTTTTATTGGGAAGGGAAGGGCAATCATCACAACACTCAGAGATACACGTCAGCCATTGACGTCGGTCCTGAGTCATAATTTCTAGTGTCTCCAATCAGCGACACTGTATCTCTGCAATCCAAACCAGGAAGTCAAGAACAATCGACCGAGGCCAACTGTCAGCTTTTCGTGTAGCTTTTTCATATAGCTTCTCCATGTTGTAGGTTGTCCACCGCGCCGACTCCTCCAGTACTGTCCAGCAACCGCGAACAATGCCCGGCACGACTGCGGGCATGCGCAGTACCTGTCCAAGCGGGACAAGCTCCTCAAGCGAGTGGCTGTCTCCGCTCGAGACACGCTGTCTTGGAAAGCCGCGAGTCAGAAAGAGTCCACTTGTGTCACCTTTTGTCGCTTCGCTCATTCCTTTCTACTCTTAACGTCCCTGTCACAACTTCATTTATCTCTCTTGCAGTCCTACGGTGGAAACACACTCGCTGCTCGACTGCACCGGCTCGGTCGCAGACTGCTTTTGGATATCACGGTGAGTGAATGCATTCTGAATGGCAGTGTCTTCGGTGATTATTATTTACGTATATCGGAAGTTGCGGTGAGTAGTTTTGTTGCTTATGCACGAAATCTGAGCACTTGTATTCAGACTGGGTCCGACATGTGCTAGCTACAGCACTCGCTGGACAGACTGATGCGGCTCGCTAAACTCCTCAGCATGTACTTAGTATCTTCAACCTCTGTGATGTCACTGCGGACCTGGGTCAATACGTTAGTTCTATCTATTCTGGAGTGGCTATTGAAGGTTTTTACCCGTTTTACTTCTCCGGGGACATTGCTCTACACTGGTCAAAAGCATCGTGCACATTGTTGTAACCCTTTAAGATATGCCAAAAGTGCAATATGCGATACCGATCTTCTCTACTAAACTGCACTTAGTGTTCCTGATATCCGATGAGATAACTGAGTGGTTGGCACATATATGCCCCGGGTGCTGTTTCGTTGCGCTTGGTTATCTGAATGAAGTAACTAACCTGACAATTCGGTTTCACACTCAGGTGACTCGATCACCGAACTTCGACCGGGGCTCCCTTACCTTTTACAAGTACTAATGGATGCCACCGTAGAATACGGTGCTCACGGGTTGTGCGCGCAGTTCCACCTGCCTTTCTCATTACTTCGGGAGCGATACACACTTTGTATCCTTACATCTACCGGCATCATCTGACCTTTTCAACGTCTCCTTTGGTAAAAAGCTGAATACAATGGCCAGTATTGATCTTTTGCGCATTCGAATTAAATATTACCCCGCTGCATGAAGATTATTCAACATATGCACACAAATGCTCACCGACCTTTTTTTCACTCTTCTTTTTACACGTTGTTTGTTGCGCTACCGTAGCTAACGGGTACATGAAACACTTGTGAATGTTCCATAAATTAACGACATATTTGTGTTTTGATTAATTATATCATATCCGCTTTAATAACTCACGACGTTGCGCCACTGTCGTTCGTGGCTGGTCGACTCAATTAGATGTCTCATGGGAAGATGACATTGGGTTTTAAGTCCCTCAAGATTTGGGAGCGGCGCTCGCTTTGTGGCTTTCTGACTAAACTCAGCTAGGATAACTCCTCAACTAATTTACGGTTGAAGGCTTCGGTTTGGTAATTTCCTTGCTCGGTGAGGGCGCCACCCCGTCCCCGTGCACTGTAGTAACTTGCGAGTTGCTGGATGGTGGGCGTCGCTAGATCACTTATAGTAATTTGGTCAGGTCGTTTGTTTCCGTCCCCCTAACCACAAACTGGTGACGGCCGAGTTGTAGGTTGGAGCCCCACATGGACCAGCTGAGATCCGCGGTGCTAACGATTCCGAAAGAATGAGACTGGTCTTCCGGGTGTGTGATAGCTGTCTGACTGACTGCACATGTGGTGGATTTCTGCTTGTACCATTCAACCCCCTTTGCTACTCCCTTGTGATTTGTGCGATTCATTTGACTATCAAACAAGATGCCTTACAAACGGAGAATTATGAGACCACCTTCATTCTTGTAGACAGTAACTGATACTGCGTTGCGTCCCAAACCAGAATGTTTAGTTTATGGCTCCGTTTGTAAACATTACTGATAAATATACCAAACTCCTTACGACCTAATGAATTTCCCCTGGTCAAACAATCGGGTTGTTCCGCAGCTTTCCTGTGTGACATCACTGCGGGCCGGAGACGAAATGCTAATCGATGTTCTCTGTAGGAATACCATCAAACTTGAAAATATCCTCCATCTAGCTTCACACATCCATGCAGACGACGGACTATGGTTGATTTCCTTGACTTGAAAGCCGACTTCGACTCTGTTGACCGCGCCCGATTGTGGCATTGCCTACCCATGAAGGGCGCGCCCAGTAAATTACTTTCCATTATGCAGTCTGTCTACCGTGCGTCCCGAAATTGTCTAAGAATCTATGGGAAATTGTCTCCTGAGTTCCCCACGACAAGTGGGGTTCGCTAAGGTTGTCCTCTATCTTTCCTTTTCAACTTTGTTGTCGAAATGATCATGGGTGACTCGGTTCTTTCGGACTCTACCGGAGTGGAAGTTCTGCCTGGTGACTGACTGAAATATCTGGAGTATGCGGATGACAGCTCTTCTTGGGTATGACGCAGTGGCTATGCAAACACTACTGCATAGACTGGTGTTGCGCTGCACGCTTCAGCATGGGCTTTGCATCTTCAAAGTGCAAAGTACTGCTTCAGGGTTGGACCGACACACCTCCGGTTCTAGCTATCAGCGAACAGCCACTGGAATTCGTAGATCGGTTCACTTACCTTGGTAGCTGTGTCATATGTGGTGGTCACTTCATTGAGGAGGATGCTTCGCGTATCAGCAAGACTCGTGTGGCTTTCCAGAGACTCAACCATCTATGGAGATGCTAAGTAGAGGTGCTAAGTAGAGCGTGTAACGCTGCGATATGGCCGGTGTTACTGTATGGATCAGGGACTTGGCCAGTTTACGGTGAAGACATCAAACGCTTGACCGTGTTTCAACATCTGTGCTTGCGAGGTACTGCTCACGTTTGGTGGGAACACAGGGTGTGGAATGCTAAGGTACGCTAGTTGGTTTTTGGTAAGAAGCATTCTGCTGTCTCACTCGAGTGTTTGTTGATTCCTGTTCGCTTACCTTGGTTAGATCATGTCCTCCATATGGCCGTTGATGGGCTTCCTCCGCATGCACTAAGTTGGGCGAAACCGCGAGGTGGCCAATAGATGACGCGGCTTAGAGGCATGAAGAAACTGACTGAGAGACTTGGTCAGGCGGGTGTGTGCCGTCTTCGTGGATGGTCCACACCAGTGGTTGGGACGGTGCCAGACATGGTGCAGTCACGTTGGCAGTGGAGCCCCTGCATTCGGTATCTTCCATCTGGTTGTTAATTTTCGTTCCATTCAGATTCGTCTAGTGCATTTCCTTCTTGCCACTATTTTAGCTACATTCTTTTCGCACCCAACTCACTGTCCTATCGTTGTTATTTCTTGTTATTCTTGCGATTGCGTCATCTCAACTGGATCCACCACACTTCGGCGCTCGCATCGTAGTCGCTTCTCTGATCTGATCTGATCGTCTAGCTGCACCGAATGGAACACAGATGCTATTACCATCCCGAGGTGGGGATGCTCAAACTGACTTGGATATTGTGGTCCTAACTCTATACGCATTGATCGAACTTTGTGGAGCGATCGTTTCGTTTGTTTCGATCATTTCGCTAGCTTATCTGTGAGTAGGTGGCTGTTTGCACTGCGAGCTTAGGCTACATCCCGCGGCACTCACCCACATAGCCTTGCTTCCCTCCATGGCTCAGTTAGATGACGTATGACTGAACCAGATATCGTAATCTATCATCTACATCTGGTAACCAGTGCCTGACTATCGTTACGTCGTCTTACCATCTTTTCTCGTTCGTCGCCTCTGCGGAACGGGAATCTCAGATTAGAGAGGAGCAGTCAGGTTCCCACTCTGGATGGAGCTATGTAGACCATATATTCACTCTGCGGCAGGTGCTAGAGCAGCGCCATATGTACCGCAGACCGACAATAACTGTGTTCCTGGACTTCAAGAGTGCGTTCGATTCAGTCGATCGATCCATTCTGATCGCAGTACTTGCTCGGAAGGGTGTTCCCACGAAATACGTGAACTTTTTTCATGCTCTATACTCGAACACTACAGACCGCGTCAGGGTCTACGGTAACCTGTCGCATAGCTTTCCGACAACAAGTGTTCGTCAAGTTTGTCAGATTTCCCCCTTTTTGTTCACTTTCGTCCTAGACTCCATCATGGAATATTCCCTTACGGAGCCTCACTATGCTATGTGTTGCTGCCTGGTGAAAGTTTCGTTGATCTTGATTATGCGGACTATTTTATCTTGCATTCTAACGATGCTGAGGCTTCCCAATCAACCATGAATAACCTCACTAGCGTGGTCCCTTTATTTGGTATGCGCTTCGCACCTTCAAATGACAAAGTGTTGCTGCCGGACCACTCGCCACTTGATGACCCGTTGATCCTTGATAATGAGGAACTCAAGGTAATTTTCTCGATTCACTTACCTTGGAAACTGCATCAGCAATGATGGACGCATAGCAACTGGTCAGTTCACGCATTGCAAAAGTCAGAACTGCCTTTTTGAATTTGCGGTATCTTTGGCAACAGAAGGGAGTTTCCCTCCGTCTGAAAGGTCGCGTATACAAGCACACAGTGACGGCCGTCCTGCTCTACGGTGGAGAAACTTGGCCCCTTCTGTCTGATGATCTGAGGCACCTTCAAGTCTTTGACCATCGTCGTCTGCTAAGCATTGCTGGTGTCCGAGGGCACCAGCGTGGTCGCAACGATGATGTGCGTAGGCGAGTACTATGTAGCGACAATCATGCTAGCTCCGTAGAACAACAGATAGCACTGAAAAAGTTGCGTTGGCTTGGGCACGTGCTAGTCATGCCTGGTCACCGTTTACCGAGGAAGACCTTGTCTAGTCTGCCAGGTGTAGGGTGGCTCAAGGCTCGAGGTGGACAGAAGTTGATGTAACAGCGGGAAATGAAGTCACTGACGACCAAACTAAGTGCCGTTTATTCGTTTTGCCTTTCGGGCTGGAGTCCACGTGACTCGCCTTGTGCTTGGCTTGACACTACCGGACGGATCGTAACCGTCACCAGTGGCGCATCTGCTGCCGTCTCCTAATCGGATTGCCTGTTTAAAGTGTGGTGCTGAGTTATCTGTGGGGTAATAGCTGATTATGACGTGGAGCAGTACAAGCCGCAAGGAAGCTGTCTCGCTGATGCCGCCTTAACTTTGCACGATAACCAGCTGTTTGTGACGGTATGTTGTCTACACTAGATGTAGGCGCCTTGACACTGAATGTTTGCTTAGGGCATTAAGGTTTTCCGCTAAGTCCCCCTTCTCTCCCTCTTCTTATTCTTTATTTCATAGGTCCCCATGGTTGTATGGCAGCGAAGCATCAGTTCAACTGGCTTATATACTGTTGTTGTTGTTGTTGTTGTTGATGATGATGATGATGATAATGATGATGATGATATTTTCTCCGTATTTGGACGATTCAACCAACAGCGAAACAAACAACCAATGAAGTGAACAGACAAGTAGATGAATACAATAAACAACAAGTGAGAACTAACTGATAGAACGCTCGATATAGCAAGAAACACGCAGCTTTTTACTGTAACGCAACAACTGCCAAACACTGTGAACCTTACGAAGCAACTAAGTAGACTTCCTTTGATAGAACGAATGTTCTATCCGTCCAAACTGTCGAATCGCACTTCTCGTAGATGATGCTGCTTATTGTCGCCTAAATTTTGTTTATACAATCTCATCGATGCTCGTCCCAGCTCTCCCAAGCTACTTGTTATCACTGATAACTGAACCAAATCACAGCTATTTAATGAATTTGGATTTTCCCATCATAGCTTCTATTCATCTAACAGCCGCCATTTTTGTTTTGCCATGTGTTATTTTTCTCCCCATTTAGACATTTTTCTATAATTACCCTCTCATCTCGCTGTTGATACTTGGCGTGACGATAACGCTTGTCAGTTGCATCGCATATGTGTGCTGTTGTCTGGACGAGCTTTATGAAGATGCAGATCACCCTATGGTCGAATCTGACCAACCATCGAAGTCCTCGGGATCTTCATCGTTATCCAATGCTACCGCCGAAGGGGATGATGAGGTCGTGGTGGTACGTCGGGGAACGCATTCCACACCACGATTTCTTCGTTCTCCACCAAAGTTCACCAACATGGGTACGTTGTTTTCTACCTGTGTTTTCCCTTAATGCACAGTGTTCTTTCAATTCACCCTTACGATCCGGTCCATTGCAGGCTCGGCCGTCTCTCCATGCCCGCCTGTGGAGGAGCCCAGCGTTTACAGTAAAGCCCATGTTTCAGGTGTCGTTTTCTCCTTCAGTCTCTGCTCGCGGACGTGTGTCCCGCGATTTGTTTGCTTGATTACTTGAATTCTCGTCTGCTGTGCCGTGTTTCTATCAGATCACACAGTGGGGCGTTCGAATCGCTGCATTTGCTGTGCCGTTCGCACTCTACAACGTTCACCTTCCACGAAGTCAAAGAGATAAAAGTTGAATCACTTTAACCTGAATGTCTTGTGCCTCGATCGATTATCATCTGTTCCCGTTTCATTAACTGCTTCATCAGTGGTATACCTACACATAGCTGGCCATTTTTGACTCGGTTAACCTTACCACCTCGTGCCCCCGAAGACTACTAAAGATTTGTGATTGTTGCCTTCTGATTATCTATGATAAGTGTGCTACACCTGCGTTGCTCATTATCCCATTTGCTTTTCACTTATGCGATCGAAATATGCATCGTAGGCGACACTCGTTTCCGGATCACCTTTCACTGAAACTGCGCACGGCTACAGGGCACCGTCTACAGAGTGACCATGGGAAGCCTGCGCAGCATTATCCACAGCTCTATCCGCACACCACATATCCGATGTAATCCCGAAGGAATAAGACCGGGAGGCATGCGGATTGGAGTAGCGTTCCATCAACGGAGCCGGCCCACACTCCTTCAGCAAACAGAACAGAAGCATTTCGGCCTCATTGGGAAATCATGCGCACCAGGTGTACACAAGACGGTGGCTGGACCCTAGCCCGCACTACACTGGATGCATGGAACCACTCTTTGAGTCTATCACGGTTTTCCTGACCGTCCCCTCCAGCAACGCCCAGCTGTCTACTGGATCCAGTATAATCAAGGTAGCGGTTTTTCACCAGGTAGCCATTCACCTCAGTGTAACCGGACCTTGGATACCAATGAGCAGTTAACTAAATTCTCAGAAAATAAACGCGTAGCACACGTACGGACCAGCAGATTCAGTCTGATGGGTAAGTCTAATGAATAGGTCGTCCAAATCGATCTGAATCAACTGCAGATGAAAGCTACACTTCTCATTAGAAAAGCGGCACCTTTGTGTTTTTTCTTGCGCCGTTTTTCATATCTTTTGCTTTTTTATTCGCCGAGCATTGAACATTTAAATCCAAACATGCATGTACACAAATCTTCCATTGGTTTTGGTTGCGCGCCATATCCTGAAGTGTTTCGAGCCATCGGCACTCCAACTCCTTTGGTTCACAACCAGGCAGGTGTGTGGATCCAACTGCAAACGACTTCATATGTTTTGGACATTGCTCACCGCGTGGTCTCTTCTAGCCGGATCCTACATGAGCGAAAAGGGTACGATGGGGCAGAATAATAATAATAATAATGTGTCAGCTGTACGCCGTAACGGCGCTTCGCTGCCGCGCGACCACCACCAGTCGCGCGCGGGCTGAGTATACCGCGAGGACGCCCACCCCTACGCGGATTCGAACCGGTGACCTTAAGACTGCAAAGCAAACGTGCAGACCACTCGGCCACCGGCCGACCGATGGGGCAGAAGCCCAGATGACTTAGACTGGACGTGAACAAACCATCTTAATTGGCGCAAAAAGACCAGATACTTGAAGACACTAGATCCGACTTCATCGTTACAGATATATTGTTGCTAGCACACACGTTCAATTCTCTTCGAGCACGCATTGTTGAAGCTTGAGATCCAGTGCATGTCATCCTCGCGAATTGGTCACGATTCGCTTTCGTATAGCAACACTGGTTGAACGGAGACATTACAAACCCTACCATTTATCAAAAGGGAGACATCGCGAAGACGCCTCAAGTGTTTCAGGTTGACAAACGCTGATCGAGCTTTGGCGATGCGGTAATAATCTTTTCCACTAGTGCCATTAACAGACTCAGCCTCCTAGGTAGACAAAGCTACTCACGTCTTCAAGTCATGTACCTTCAAGCGCGAGCATCGTAACGGCTGAGTGCCATTCCTGAAGCAGCACTTTACATTTCTATGTGGCGAATCACATTCCGTACTTTGGTGCATCAATCATTAAACGCTTTAGAGTTCTTTGTATACTCAGCGAGTCCTCACCGCGTAAGGCGATGTTGTTAACATTATCTGTCACTCACAGTAGTAGCTGCAGGTCAACGTTTTGGTAACCTTCCATTGCTCTCGGAAGGCGTTTCCAGTCGCCAAATTGAAGCGGAACGGGGACATAGGGCGGTTGGCGGTTGGCGGCATCCGGTTTCGGATTTGCCTGTCACTGTGGCAAGCCACAGGACGCCTGCGCCTACAGAGGGACCATGGATGGCTTGCGCTGCACCACCCACAGCTCCATCCACACACCCATGTCCAGTGTAAACCCGAAGGAATAAGTCCGGGAGGCATGCGGATGGGAATCACGTTTCATCAACGGAGCCGGCCCACACTCCTTCACAGGCAAACACAAGCACACTGTATTTGGGAATCAATAGCACACAAGGCGGTGGCTGGACCGTAGTCCGCTCCACACTGAGTGCATGGAACCGCTCTTCGAGTATAGCACAGCCACAAGGATCGTGCACCTCGTCCCCTCCAGCAAAGACCAACTGTCTCCTAAAGCCAGTATGGACGAGGTAGTGAGTAATTAACAGGTAGGCACCTTGTAAACATGCACATCAAGCGCAGCCACACCGGGAATATCAACCAATAGCCAGTCACTTGAAAAGGTAAAATAAACTAAATCAAATACCGATACGCCGACCTAGCTGTTTAATAAGTGAACATATGATATAAATGGGCTGTCAAAGTAACTCGCGATAGTTTTAAGACGTCGGAAAATATATTTTAAGAAAATGTAAAAATCGTGAAAAGTTTACTACAATTAACCTGAATGACGTGTGCAAGTTGATAGAAGATAGTTTACGTAGGCAATCATGTGACAATATGGCAAACTCTCTACCTGAAATAAAGAGACTCAGCATGCAAGCACGCGGATAGTAACTGGAATGCAGCGTACGTACAAACGCTGCGCCGGTTCTGCCTATGTTCTCTGCAGGATGCGTCGTCGCTTCGGTAGTGGTCCTGAGCGACCTCGCCTGCCTGACTAAGGAACTCGCTACCGCATATGCTACAGCACCATGCGCTCGATGTCGATGGAGTACAACCCATCGGCGCCCGTCGATTCCGCAATGGCCGCCTCTTCTCTGCGTGCACGAGGACTTCCTTTTGCACCTCGGCAACTGCCTTCGTGATCAGGTCGCGCCATGCACGCCGATCAACCGCTTTCGATTCCCATGACTTGCAGTATAGATTAGAACGTGAAAACTCACTTTGATCATGTCCTGGTAACGTAACTTCGGTTTCGCACATACAACTCCCCTACACTCAGCTGACCATATAATGGTTGCTTCGGTATTCGCGTTGAATCTATACGCCACACATGATCGAGCCACCTCAGGTGTCTCAGCAAAAGAATGCAGTCCACTTCATACGTTCCACTTCGACGCAACACTTCCATGTCAGCAACTTTGTCGCACAATCCGTCGCAAACACCTTTGATGGAACCGCTCGAGATATCTCACATCTCGCCAGTACATCGTCCACGTTTCTGCCATATAGAAGAACGGACAGCACCATGGATTTGTACATCATCAGCTTCATGCCAACGGTAAGCTGATAGTTGTTGTTCTACACTCTGTATTCTAGCTTCCCAAATGCCGCCGCTGCCTTCGAAACGCGGATATGAAAATGCGCAGCTGCTGGTCAGTCGACATCACACTCCCAAAGTAGCAGAAGCGGGAGGTGGTTTCTAATACTTCAGCACCAATGCTGATTCGCGGCACGATTGCACCTCCGGTGAAGGCTGAAAGACAGATAGTTTTGCTTGTGTTGACGGTGAGGCTGAATTTGGCCGCTGTCGAAGTCAGAGCACTAGTCATGTGCTGCAACTCATCCGTGCTTTGTGCAAACAACGCACAGTTGTCAACAAACAGCAACATACGGATAGTTGTCTCACAGACTAGGGTTCTCGCACCAAAACGACGGATGTTCAGCAACCCACCATCAATACGGTGCTCCACACGAACACCGTAAGCACAAGCGGCATCAAACGCATAAAACATCATTGCATAAAGATGAATATTAAACGGGGCAGGAGCTAAGACACAGCCTTGCTTCACACCAGTAAGAACTGCAAAGTCATCCGAGGTCTGTCCACTCAGCTGCACCCTCGCCCGCATACCACTGTGCAGACTTTCAATTACACTTACAAACTTACGCGGGCAACCAAACTTACCCAACACCAGCCACAATGCCTCGAGGTTCACCGTATCAAATGCCTTGGTGAAATCAACAAAAAGCGAGTACAACGGCTAGTGTCGTTCTCTGCATTTCGTTTCGTTCCGGTGTAACTTGATGACGAAGGGCTCGTGGCAACGTATGGAGCGTTTGGAGACGTCAAATAAAATTTGACCTGCAAATAACAAAATCACTCATGAAGGCATCAATACGAACCGAAAAAATTATCAAGCTTCTTATAAGCGTTCAAGGTTTCGGCTACAGTATCCGAGTCAGGTGAGGAAGTGCGGACGCATGGGCAAAAATTGCTAACGAAGTGAGATGCCTAGTCATTCCCTAAGCTCGGGGTGGGTCAGTGCTGAACTGCAAGTATTCTGTTTACATATTTGTAAAAGTCTACGAATAGACATAAAGCCATCAGAAACCATGAGATTCAAAAGAAGGTATAGTAATAGTAGAAGAAAACACAACAACAATGTCCATGCTTTCGTCAGAGGGCGAGATACTACCCGGTTGCCCAAGCCGAAATAGGGTGTTGACTTAGGGGACACCACCCCGAGCCTTTGGCTGAATAGCCTGCCCGCAAGGCAGCGGAGCGAATTCAGGGAATCGCGCCCATTGGGAGCCGGTGACTGTTTGCCCAGTTCATACGCCTTTCGTTTGTTTCTTTGTCAAACAGGGGTTCAATGCTCCCAATGCTTCTGTGTACATACACTTACTCCTCTCGTGGCTAAACATTCCCTATTTATTCTGCGATCTAGACCTGTTTTAATATGGTGGTTGCCGTTGAGATTGCATTTATGTAGGCGTCCATCAGAAAGTGCCTCCGTACTTAAACTGCTATCAAGTCAGTGGTTTCACGGATTGATTAAGTTTTGATACTTCAGGTAATTTGAGCGAATAATATGTTATACTTAGCGCATGGAATAGGGAAAGTTTTGAAAAGTAGTAGCTAGTTGTCCCACCCACTATTTCACCAGTGGCTTCTCAAGCACTAACATCGAGCACCCAGTGAAATTCGTCGATCTTTTCACCTATTCTGGTCGTCACACCATTGAAACGGTTACTGCATGTATCGGTCAAGCAGCCTGTATTGCCTTCCAAGGTTCCAGTCATTTATGCGCCTGCTGGATGTCAGCCTTAAGTAGGGTTACCGTAAGACTGGTATTACTTTCTGGATTACTCTACTGGTCACTGCTCCTAGAAGACATCAGGAACTGAGTATTTACTGGTGTTTGTGAACTACTGGTGCTATTTAGTGTCAGCGTCTGCCGATCATTTAAGTCCTGCAACGGGTTCTCTGACGCCTCAACACACCACTTTTTCATTTGAACTGCTTGCGTTGGTCAGGTTATCTCCATTGTATGCCTACTTTGGCCACGTACCTTGGCTTGCTAAGTGAAACTAGTGAGGGATCATTTTGAAAAGATGAAAGAATTGAGTGCGAAACGCAATGAGGCTGACCCTGAATGGGAGCACATGATTGACTGCATAAGAACATTAGCAGACATGTGTGCTGCAATTTACACCGATCCATTAGCCTTATTCTTACGACTGCAAATATTCTCTTCTGTGTTTCCTCTTGGTTGCTTTCTTCACAGTGACAGAGCGGCCCGTTGCGACCGGATTCTCCCCCCTCAATCCATTCATTGTTCGCTTGATGTTGTTGATTGCACCGCGTGCTAAACTCTGCTTCTCTTTTCACCTCCCCCATCTTCTACTTTATTTAGGTCCAGTTATTTCCAAAGAGGCCGTTGATGCTAAACGTATGGAATTTGAGGAGTGGAAGAAAACCCGCTGATTGTTAAGAACTTGTGCCCACCATGACCTAGCTCTCTGTGTTCCTCAACGTTATATTTCAAGTTTCACGCTATACTACTAATCCGGTACTCTTGCCATCTTGCTCCCATCCAACGCTGTAACTTCCTTTTTCTCCTCCTGTTAGACGTATTATATATTCTTTCATTTTCTGACTAATGCTCCACATTTGCTCGACTGCTGGCAATGTGAACTAGCGCGAGTTCGCCTCTGTGTTTCGTATCTTATGTCTTTATGCATTGGTGCATGGTGCATTTGAAAAGCATTCACAAATTAAGATGTGGTTTTGGGACGTTAATTATTGGGTTGAGCGAAGTGACTATTTACGTAACATTGCATCAAAATTTTGAATCCTCCTTAAGGCGAGAGTATTCACAAAACTGCTGTCAAGCCCTTTTTGTGTTAGTGGATTGCGACGCGCAATCTTAATGTGGATCGCGATTTGCCTTAGTCAGCTCGATCTCTGGGACCGTAACTGAAGCAGATGAGTATTAGTGTAACCCGCCTCACAAAAACCGCACTCTATGACTAGTTTCGGACTTGCTTGATTTCATCAAGTAGTGATATCGCGCATCGAACCTGTGACCTTTGGGGTTTTGTCCGAAACCTGTACATCAATATTCATCATTTAAGATCCCAGTGGTCGGATTGACCAGGGTACACTTTAATGCAAATCGAGGTCAGATTGAGATTGCGCGTCGCAGTCAATTCACACAAAAAGTGCTTCAAAAAGCCCTGCACCCAGTCATTAACCGCTGTAATATGTGTTGCCTACCCTGTGACTCAGGGAATAAGGACTATAGGTTTCGGCTAACACCCCATAGGTCCTGGTTTCCATGCTTGCTATCTCTGCCTGATGAGATCAAACCTGTTCGAAACTAGTCGTGGACTACGGTGTTTTCGAGGCGGATAACATCAATATTCCTCTATTATCAAGCCCCTTTCCGGATGTAACTGGCCACCTAACTTAGTCTGGTGGTAGTGACATAAGTCGAGGCCGTTTTACACTTCCCTCATAGATTGAATTAGCGACTAGGATACGTTGGTTTATCAGTTACCCTTCATGACCAACAAACCTTCCATTTTTTTGGTTTACTCGTCGCAGACCATGCACATCTCTGTTACCCGTATTGTGACTAAATAGCACCCGACGCGGTCGCCCACACACAACACCACTATCATATTGGCAGTTGGGTGATTCTCGTTCGTCCCGCCCACCACGAATGAAAACGCAGTGCTTGCCAAGCTAGCCACTGTGTCCAGTGATACCAGCGTATGCCACGGAAACGACTAGCACTCCGAGTACGCCGTTGGTTTGATCGGGAGTTGCTCCTTCGTTTTGCAATGGCGATTGAAGCCAGTTATTCTTGCAAGGAGCATACGGCTTTAACGAGTGAGACATTAGATGCACGGGACGATAAAGTTGAGATCGTTGGCACTTGTATCTCCATGATTTTATCTGCCATAAGAGCTAAATCTTTCAGTTCGCTATCCTGATGAGCGTTAGCCAATATTTGTTGTACATGAGTAGGGAGCCATTGCAGAAATAGCTGCTTAAAGATGGAATTTTCTGGAGGATTTTCACTCACCAAAGCTTACATGACTCGCAAGAGTTGCGTAGGGGTACGATCGTCTAACTGTTCGTCATTAAGTAAACGTTGTACACTCTTACGCTCGCTAAGGCTAAGCTAGCTCACTAACAAGTCCTTTAGTTGTTACTACGTAGGGCTTGTTTTCAGGACATCCTATGCCAAGAGCAAATATTCTGCTGGGAGTCGGGAAATCACATGATGAACTTTTAAGGCATCCTTATGTATTCGATTGATCTCAAAAAATGACTCGGCCTGTAGAAACCAAAGCAGGGGATACTGCACCCAATATGTTGGTAAATAACCAGTAGATACAGTGTCAATTTCACCTGGTTGATGGTCGGTCATATTCGCATCCATGAAAGTAATAAAAATCGACGAAAATGATCACGACTCACCGTATGAATTGGGCTGTGTGCAAACCACCGAGCTCACGTCGGGTGCACCAATTTGTAGGAGCGCTGGTTAGCTGCGAAGTTCGGAGTTCGAATAATCACGAAAGAACATGAAGAGAAGCATGATGATGGTGAAGCTTTTGTAGCTAGTCATCTTCATAGTTCTATGATCGATGATGTAGGTTTTGAATATTGGTCGATATGGCTGGTGGAAATGTTAAGTGATCAGATAGTGTCCTACTGGTAACTTGTGTTGGGCAAAATGCGTGCTGATACTACATAGTTGTGATACCACTCCCGCATGTAATAAAAAAGATTGTAGTTAAGTGGGGAACTGTGAGGGTACATGGAATTCTGGGGTCTGGCAGCATGTGCTGTTTTCCGATGTTCAGTAATCTTCAGGTAGTTATTTCCTTTTTTACAGTTATAGCAGTCCGAAGGCGGAACAGAGTGATGGTGGCGTGGTGGTCGACAAATAGGGTTGGGCAGGAGAAAACTTGCACTGGTTTTCCTCGAAATGGTCTGACAAGTATTGTTGTGGTAGTAAGTAGAATTTTGACGTATTATCTTAGTAACTGTCGGCTTGGTCGTACTTAAATACTTCTTGTGAATATCTGTCGTCGAAAATTTTGAACAGTTTACGTTTGACTGTGTCATGCTTATGCCGTGATTGAGGCCGTCTTCACTAAATAAATAAATAAATTTGTATATTTGCCGACGGACGGTACACGGCCCCATAAGTGGGAGCGATCATGTGTATAGTGAACACGTTTCATAACATTAAATAAAAGTTTACTAATAGCATTTCGGATCATGATTACTTTTCCTTCAGTCCTAGACCCGCGCAACTCATATGTAAAATTTACGGATGTTTGTATCGTTAGGAGTAGATAATAAACGAAGGGACTATTAGGCTGCAAAGACACAGGATTTGGTATGGTATATAATGACATGTAGTGGGTAAGCTAGCTGTAAGCTATTATCAAATGTTTTTTATACCAACTTCTGTCAGTGTTTCTAGTGTTTGCTGTGAGTCAAATATCTTCAGAGCATTTGGTATAGTGAGGAAGGTCTGAAGGAGATTTCGAAAGGTGACATGGCTTGTACACATGCGTATCTGTAGGGGTAGTTTGTTCCACAAATAAGTGTATCTCACTAAGAAGAAATTCGACCGAATTTTATGACTTGAAGGTTTGTACGTATCAAGTAGCCGCCATTACGTGTGGGGTAGACTGCAGTCTTCCGCAGTTCAAGTGCGGTGCTGTCTGCGTAAATTCGTTGGTTTATAATGTTGTAGAAGAGAACGAGGTTGTTCTTTAAGCGTCTCAGCCAAAGTGGATCCAGCTGGAGTTTTCGACAGCGATCATAATAAGTCAGGTTTGAGCAGCGGCCCATGAGCAGTTTGGTAAATGATCGTTGGACATTTTCTAGAGCCGTTCTGTCTTTCTTTCTCAATTGGCTGTGAAGGATAGTACAATACTCCAGAGTCGGTCGTACGATTGTCTTGAATGATTCGAGTCGTACTTCAGGTAGGGAGAAAGTTCTGGTGATATATCCGCATAGCTGCCTTGCTTTCGCAACCTGATAAAGAACATGTTCGGAGAAATTGAAAGAGTTGGAATACCTAATTCCTAAGTCCCGAACTGACTCAGACGTTGGGATCACGTTTCCGGCAACTATAATGGAGCCTTCTGGGATGCGGCATCTGTACCCAAGTACTTGGGATTTCACTGCGGAGAACTTCATTAATAAGCGCTCACTAGCTATATTTAGTGCGGATAGGTCTTCACCGATGTTTCTCAAACACATATGTAGTTGGTCCGGATGAAATGAGTAAACCAGTTTGACATCATCCGCAAACAGAAATGGATGTCCATGTTTGATTGGGTCACGTATATTGTTTACATAGATTAAGAAAAGTAGCGGTCCGAGCACACTTCCCTGGAAGACACCGCTGGTTATTGGCTTCGGTGTAGAATGTTGCTGACCGATTTTAACGACCTGAGTTCGACCGTTTAGATATGAGTCGAACCAGTTAAGCAGCGGATTTCCAATTCCATATGACTAGAGCAGACAGCAGTGGCTGGTGTGGCACGCGGTCGAAAGCCTTTTGCATGTCCAACAGAATTATGATAATTGCCATTCCTCTGTCAATCATAGTCGTGATGTGATCGAGAAATTGTAGCTGGCATGTAACGCAGGAGCGTCTTGAGAGAAAGCCGTGCTGTGAAGGGTTGATCAGATCCAGTCTTGTTAGATATTGGACGATGTTCTTCTTGACTATTCGCTCTAGGGCTTTGGAAACAGCAGAGGTGTGATTTATTGGGCGATAGCTTGACATTTGATTTCTCGGTCCACCCTTGTGCTTAGGCATTATAATGGATTGCTTCCATTGTGCTGGAAAGCAACCGGTAGTGAGTGAAAGTGTGAAAATGTTTAGTAACAATAGTGCGAGGTTTTTTCTTCCGAGTTTTATAACAGTTGGGGAGATGCCATCTGGACCTGGATGAGTTGATGGTTTTATGGCTGCGATGGCACTTTTCACCTCTCTTAACGTCACAGGGATATTGCAGTATAGTTCGGTCGTTCTTTTTGGAAGTGGAGGATGAAGTGGCTGAATGTTGGGGACAAAAGAGGAGGCAAAACTAGAGTTCTTGGCCTCGCATATACAGGAGATATCGCGCGTTATTTAACCATCGTCTAGAACCAACGTTTCAATTTCCTGAAGTGGTTTAGGGTTTCTTCTTTTGAGTAGTTGCATCAATGCACGTACTTTCTCAGGATTTCTGAGTACCCGGCTTTCTTCTTTGGTTTTGACTGTTAGGGTTAGACGTTGTAAATATAGTAAGTTCTCGTGTATTTGTAGCAATGTTGCGAAGCTGTTGTTCCTGCTGTATAGCGATTTGAGTTTCTTTAGTTTTATTTTGGCTTTGGACAGAATCTTGAGTTCACCCCTATGTTCATGGGTATTTCTCCTTACAGTAGGTGCTAGTAGATCCACAACAAGGGCAATGTTGTTTATAAACTCATTTGTAGCCACAGTAGGGTTGTGGGTTAGGAATGACGTATTCCAATTCATGGTACTGATAAGTTCATTAAATGCGTTCCAGTCCACACGATGGAGGTTACGAATGGGTTTTAGCATTTTACTTGGTCGTTTAGGTAAATCAAAAGTCATATCACAAAACACCGTGTTGTGATCACAGCCAGGCAGTGGATTATCAATGAATGTATAAGCGTTCGCGATTCCCATCGTGAATACAAGGTCTAAGGTAGTAGCACTTCTAGTT